TACAATGTTTTTTTTTTTTTCGAGTGACTTTACCCTGACAAAGCGGGAACTTCAATTTCAGGATGCTCTTTGTTATGAAAGTAATGCGATGAACAATATAATAAGGAAGTTAGAATAGGAGGATTAGAAAATTAATAAAAAAAATAAAGTATTTCCTCACTTTGTACATTATTTTCTGAAAATTATCCTTATTAACTGCAGTTCAGTTTCAAAACCTAACTGCAAGCAAGAACACAATCCTATTTTAATGGCAAAAAACACATCTCATACATACAAATCAAACAATTAAACAACTTCAACACCATTCTTTAACACTCATTAGCATACTACGAAGTTACAAACGTAAACCAAAGACTACAAACATACCAAATCCAAAAAAATAAAAGGAATTACGCAAGCAGCTGAGTTTCTTCAAACAGATGTAAACATGTCTCTGAGCAATGTTGCCATATGGATTTGTGATGAATCCGCTAGATAAGGTTGGATGTTTAGCGCGAAAATGCGCTTTTTGTTTATGTATATCTACATCTAGCTATCTCTTTTTCTCTTCTCTCTACTCACACACACACAACACACACAACACACACAACACACACACACACACACACACCACACACACACACACACACACACACACACACACACACACACACACACACACACACACACACACACACACACACACACACACACACACACGGACGCACGCACGCACGCACACACACATCATCGTCAGTGTAAAAATATCATGACAGTCTGCAGTGGAACTGAAATTATGTTTTTAACGACAGAATTCCCTGATTGAATCGTATATGATAATGAGGCTAATGTATATAATGAAAAATGCAGAATATGCATATAGTAAAGCGAACAAAGAATATACTAGCTTGTTATATTCATCTCTTCTTACAAAATTACTTTCCGCATTGGTTACGTTAAATAAAAAGTAAATAATGTATTGTTCTTCAAAATTCGCTACATTTGAGCACTTTTAGCTATGTTGACATCGCTCGATTCAATGATAACGATTGAATGATAAACAAAGGACAGACAGACGGTATATATATTCTGTTATGGTAATATTGATAATAGTAATGATAATGATGATGATTATCATTACTATTATCATCATCATCATAAAAAATAACATAATATTGGGATACATGATAATAGCAATAACAATTATAGTACAACTAATAATGATAGTAATGTTAATAATAGTAATGATAGTAATAATGATATTCATAATAATAACAGTGTTTACATGATAATAATGATATAATATATGAAAGAATAATGAAATAAAATAATGATAATGAAATAAAATTTATAAGTAATAATGAAATAAAATAATGATAAAAGTAATAATGAAATAAAATAATGATAATAACAACAATAAAGATAAGTTGATAATAATGATGATGAAAATAATGTTAATAATGATAATAATAATAATGATAATAATAATAATAATATAAATAATAACAATAATAAGATAATAAACCCTAATAAATAATAACATTATGATAACAATAATGATAACAAAAACTAAAAACAATATAACAAAAATAATAACAATAAATCAACCCCTTCGCTTCCAACCACGAGGGTCCCTCATGGCGAGTCGCCAGGCAGGTCCCACGCCCATCTCCAGTTCCGATTTCCTAGGTCGTCCGGCCACGTCACCGCCCTCCGATTCGGCCGCATCAGGGAAGAATTAGGCCAAAAGGAAGGGACAGAGGGAGTACACATTCCATTTCAACTATTAGTTAGTTATTACATTTTTTTCTTTTTGTGAATCTTATGTAACATTACAGAATTATGTTAATACATGAATTCATTTTACAAGACAGTTTTTTTTTTATCTCATGTAACATTACAGAATTATGTTAATACATGAATTCATTTTACAAGAGTTTTTTTTTTTTTTTTTGAAATCTTATGTAACATTACAGAATCATGTTAATACATGAATTTATTTTACAAGAGTTTTTTTGTAAATATGTAAAATTGCAGAATTATGTTAATGCATGGATTCGTTTTGTTTATATTTGATGTAAGTACGCTAATAAATATTCATAGTCTTCTTTTGTTTTAAAGATTGTTGAATAAATTGTTTAAAATGGTGATTGTGTCAGTCGCATTGTTGAAAGGTTTTGGGAAGTGTTGAAAGCAATCTAGAATACATGTTTGTTAAATAGTTTCTAAATTGTCAAATTAAAGTTTCTTATTATTGAATGGATTAAAAAAAAAGTTGAAATCAAATGAAATGTCATTACGAAATTTTGAATGTTGAAAGCAAATAATCAATTGTTTAGTTGCAAACATAAAAAGGTGTAATGATAAAGATAATGATATAAAGGATAATAAATTAATGGTAATGATAATGATAAATAATAGTAAAGCATAAATGAAAATGATAATGAAATAATGATGAAAATTATAAGAAATCCCACTTATATCATTTTGATAATAATAATCATAGTGATTAGTAGTAACAATAATGATAAGGATGATAATAATAATGATGATAATGACAATATTAGTAATCATAATGATAAAGATAATGATAATAATAATGATGATACTAATAATAACGACAGCAATAATAATAATCTTAATTTCAGTAATAATGCTACTACTACTACTACTACTACTACTATTCTATTCTACTTTACATTACTACTGCCACCACTACTACTAATAACAATAATCCCAGTAATAATATTTCCTCGTAAGCAAGACAAGTGATGATGGAAATAATTTAATCAGAGGCGAACTTGTCACATACATCACTGGTTCGTCTGTTCCACCCATACTGAATGCAGTATGGGTGGTTAAGAAATACCTAGGGAGGCAATGTACAAATGGTGGAGTTCTTAGGATCATCTTCTTCATCATCATCATATCATAATCCACCATCACTCAATACACGCATCCTTGTCGATTTTTTTTTTCTTTTTTTGAACATGGGTTATAGTAGTTAATGAGCTTTCACTTCCCGACTGTACTTTTGTTATTCACTGTGCTTGTTTCTCGTTATCTATTTTTTTATACTTCCCTTCTTGTATCAGCTGGTGATAGTCCGCCAACTGATGATATCTTGTGTAAAAAAAAAAAAAAAATGGATGTTATTATCTTACCTTTCATGAAAAATGTGAATATCTGATACTCTTGTTTGGTAATTTGTAAAAGTTATTCTTACCTTTTTATTCTCCGCTGATCCTGCTGGTGTCTTCACCCCCCCTCCCCTTCGAAACAGGCTGCAGTGACGCTGCCTACGATCTCTTTCTCCGTAAAGTAATTTTGCCTCAGAATTTTTCCGAGCTAGGAAGTCAGCTTCGGTCCGGATCGGAGAGATAACGCGTCCCTTTATCTCGCTTCGTCTTCCTGAACGCCCTGTGGAGTCAGTTCCTCTCGGCGGCTGTGCTTCAAGCTTGTCAGTGCAGCGGTTCCTGGAGTGTGAGTCGCCGGAGGGTCTGAGCAGGTAGGTGGACACATCGGGAAATTTAGGTACGCTTGATAACGCTGTGGTAATAGTTGATTGCAATCTATCGGCCGGTTTGTTAAAATTGTGCCAGGCCCAATGAACATTCGTATAAACAGACATCTATATGCACAGAAATAAAGGCATATCTGTCGATCTATCAAATAATACATTTATCTTTCTATCTGCACGGTAAATATGCATGTGTAGACTGATAGAAATGCATTTATTTCTGTGTATGTGCATGTCTGTGTCATGAAAGTCTTTTAGGTTGGGCCTGGCACAATTCTAAGAAACCGGCCGTATGCTTTGAGTACCTGAGTAACACTGTTAATCGTGGTTTTAGAAAGGAGAACCACATTGATGAAAGGGACTGACGGATACCAATTAGAAAAACAACACCGGCCAGGCAGAACGAGACCGAACCCTCTAAACAACACATACATCTCTCTTTCTCTTCTACAGCCTCGTGGTGGGATCGGCAAAATCAAAATACTACAGCAGTTATAATGGGTGGAGCAGCCGCTGCATGCTCCCTGGTCGTGCTGAGCCTCCTCTTCGCCCTCCTCTTCAGCTTTCTCTGCTGCAGGTAAGCTACAGGTGACAGACAGACGTACAGAGTGTGATTACGTTTTGGCTGAGGTATGGATAATCGAATTGGATTTGCATTTACACAGAATAGAAGCCAAAGAGGACGATTGTGTATCATGATGATGATGAAAATGATGGTAATAATAGTAATAATAATAATAATAATAATAATAATAATAATAATATAATAATAAATAATAATAATAATAATAATAAATAATAAATAATAATAATAATAATAGTAATAATAATAATAATAATGATAATGGTAATAGTAATAATGCTAATGGTAATAGTAATAATAATGATAATAATTATAATAATGGTAATAGTAATAATAATGATAATAATAATAATGATAGTAATAACAATAACAATAGTGATAATGATAATACTACTACTACTAATGATAATAATAATGATAACAGTAGTAATGATGGTGATAATGATAATAGTAATGGTGATACTAATAATTATGATAATATCATTAGCAGTAATGATAATAATAGTAATGGTGATACTATTAATGATAACAAAAATAATTATAATAATAATATCAATAGTGATAATGATAATAATTAATAATAAGGATAATAACAATCATTAATATTATCATTTTATTATCAAATCATCAATCATTATCACCAACATTCATCATCACATTATCATCATCATCATTATCACCAACATCATCCCATTATCATCTTGATTTATCACCACATACATCATTATCATTATTCATTATTCACCAACATCTAATCATCATTATCATTATATTCAATCACCAACATCAATATCATTATCATTATCATTATCACTCATCATAAATCAATTATCATTATTCACCAAATTCATATCATATCACCACATTCATTATCATTTATCATTATCACCAACATCATCATCATTCATATTATCACCAACATCATCATCATCATTATCATTATCACCAACATCATCATTCATCAATCATCATTCATGCATTATCACCACATCATCATCACACACATTTATCATTATAACACCATCATCATCATCATTATCATCATTCATCATTATCACCATCATCATCATCATTATATTATCACCAACTCATCATATCATCATTATCATTATCACAACCATTCATCATCATTATCATTTATCATTATCCAACATCATCATCATTTTTATCATTTCATTATCAATAACATTCACAATCATTATCATTATCATATTATCACCATCATCACCATTTCATTTATATTTCACCATACATATCATTTCATTATCATTTATACACACATCATCATCATTATCATTATCACTCCCCAACATCATCATCATTATCATTATCACACATCATCACCATTCATCCTATTACCCACC